CAACTCAGATGCATATATGCCAGACTCATGGAAGAAAAAAGAACTCCAAAAGGACAACCATGTGAACCACTACAAAGCCAGGACTTCAGTAAAAAATCAGATGTGACTAGACCATCACGAAGGAACAGTACATACCCAGAACAATCACAGTACAAGATAAAGCATATCCAAGAGAATATTCCACAGCAGCAATACAACCCGTGAAGACACATTGAATTCTCCAACAACCAGAATGACAGCAGCAATAAGCAGCCGAACAAACAAATCGGAGACGTGTGAAGGATCACATACAAAATTACAGTGTCAAAGGATTACAGTTGAAAAAGAACTTGGACAGAGAAAAATTATACATCTCATTGATCGAAGACAAATACAAAGGTTACAGACGGCCAAATAGGACCGGATAAACTCAGACATAAGACAGAGACAAGATTCTTAAATATTGCAACAAGAAACCCAGTGGCAGCAACAACGGCAGCTCGGACGTAGAAGAACAGATAGAGCAGCATGTTCATTACCAAGCAAGCATAAGCCCGGAGGCTGCTCAACCTCACACACCAGCATATCTACGAATGAAGAAAAAATTGAAGAACAAATTTACTACTCAAGGAAGAGCCACAACCAATAAAGAAGGTATTTATAGCAAACCAGAGGTAAACAAGGCTAAAGATCACAAGAAAGAAAGAGAAAAAGAACAAAAGAGCAAAGCAACAAAGGCGAATAGTAACCAAAAGCAAGATTCCTGACAAAAAGTAAAAGAAGACGCTCACTCATGGTTATACAAGACCCATCCGTGACCAGCAAAAGACAAAGATCAAAGGGGTACAAATTAAGACCCTTCTTCCGGCTTCTTTTCAACAGAAAAGAACCCGGAGAAGGCTCGGGGGCTGCAAGTACCTACCACAGAAAAACATATTTTCAATTTTTTTGACCCTCCAACTTTTTGTATCAAAAAACAGAAGGCTCGGGGGCTACACTCAATGTGCAAAATTGCACTCGCTGCACTCAAAGGAAAAAAGAACCCGGAGGATGTCAAGCAAAAGTGCACATCAGCCAAAAGAAGAATCAAAGAAGACCATCTCAAGATTTCACTTCAAGAAGGACCCGGATCAAGACTGCAACAACTCAGCCCTTGAAGCTCAATCATAAAATGCTCAGGGGCTTGTCGATGGGCAACCCTACGGGCCCCTCATAGACCATACTGCAGGGAGGTAGGCCTTGGTAGCAAGGCCTACAGCCCAATCGCCAAGAAGAACGCGAAGCAAAGCAACGTGTAGAACCGAAACTCCAACGCAAACTATACAAGGAAAGGCGCCCGAAGCGTAGCTTAGGACTCTGACCTTGTATCCGAATAGGACATAAACAACGCCTCTCAGCGCCTGGACTATAAAGGGCTGGTGAGGGTACCCATTGTAAAGGGAGAACGCATACCCGATACTCAAAGCAATACAACGCAAACAGGCTAACGCCAAAACTAGACGTAAGGTTATTATTCGACCAAGTCGAGGGCCTGAACCAGTATAAATCGTGAGTCTCTTTGCGCAACCGCCGAATTCCGCTATTCGCCGAAGCCCGAACAACTGTCCCGGGTACCCCCGTGGCAGGCTATCGGTGGTAAAACATCGACAACGTGATGAACAACAAGGGCCGATAGAGTTAGGGCAAATGAATATATGGTTTTTTTTATGATTGGAGGTTGGATTCCTCAGAAATAAATTGCTCAATGAGAAGGAAACCGGCATACCTTACTCTAGAATAAATACTCGAGCTCAAAAATATTTGACTCGGGCTCAAATTAAACCTAGGGACTCTCAATTTTGAAAAGGTCATTTTGAAGGCTAGGGATGATTTTTCGAGGACGTGGGGCATTGAGGATGAGATGGCTCCTAGACCAGATTCTATGAAGATAAATGGATATGCTCTACACCCCGAAAAAAAAATAATTTTCCAGCATGTATAGTATTGTCTATTGTCCTTATGCTACTGTTGAGGATTTTCATGAGTCAAAGGCCTCGTAATATCTCTTTTCGAAGAGCCCTAGCCAAAGGCAAATTAATTGTTGGACATAACCTGGTAGAGCCAACTTTCAAACGGTAAAGATGGTTTTAACTGGATTTATATAAGGGTAAAGTACACTTTCCAACCCTTAACTTGCCCCCAAGTTCGATTTTCAACCTTCAACTATGAAACCGGTCAAGAAACACTCTCCAACTATCAAAACCGGATAAATTTGGTCATCGGCTCGTTTCAAAAGCGGTTTTCTATTTTCGGGAGGCGCCGAAATTTTATATTATTTTTTGAGCATCTTAACATCCTCAAATGAAAAAACTCAAAACTAGATCTCATTGAGAGCTACAGCTTTGGTATAAAAAGTATTTTCATCTAACTCCATACAAATAATATATTAGTGCTCTAATGCGGCAAGCGCTAGTAGGCGATTATTATGGTACCAAAATTTTATATTATTTTTTCGAGCATCTTACTATCCTCAAATGAAAAAAATTAAAACTATAAAGTTGTAGATCTTATCGAGGTCTACAATTTACATATAAAAATTATCTTCATCTGACATCGTATTGAAGGGTTTTCTATTTTTTGAAATTTGAGCCTCGTCACGCGATAAAACAATACTTATCTGGGTCAGACATCTATCCTAGACGTTTATTTTCGAGCGCATGAGGGTTGGATCAACCTGCTTGAGCGCACCCGAGTGCAGGGAGCGTGAACCAAACAGCCCCTGTATGCCTACCACTCCTTCGCCTACGCGTACCACAGGCGCCAAAGTTCCAACTGGCATGCCGGTGACGATTCACGTGGATACATATAGGAAAAAAGCGGCCGTAACTGCAGAAGGAAACTCCCAAGCAATTCCCCAAAACAACAACTTAAACAATTGTCCCCAACTGCTTAAACAAGTGCCTCGCATTGGATCATAACTGTTGGCGTCCTATAAAAAACGACATCATGATTCGTGGCCCAACACAAGGATACAGGAGCAACGAGCAAGGTGAAGAAGAGCAAGCCAACGACACCGGCGGCATCAGCTTCGTGCCACGCCGACGATCCGACGGCGCCCATAGCCGCCATAGGCCGCCCCGGGGTGCTCGCCGCGGGTGTACGTGTGCGTGCGCTCGTACACTGCCTGCGCCGCAACCTCGGCCTCGTGGGCCTCCTCTTGGCTTCCTCTGCTGCCAGTGCCGCGGCGGCGGACAGGGAGGCGGCCCCGGTGCTCTGCTTCTGCGCGTTCGCTCTTCTGCTACTCGGGCTCTCCCTCCTCAACATCATTCTCATTTGATTTCTCCTCAACATCATTCTCATTTGATTTGATTCCTGATTCGACACAGCATTGCCCTGACCCTTGAATGCCGGAGTTGCCAGTCCGATCGGAATTAATCCGCCTTCATCACCACCACCACCACCGCTGCTGCTGCTGCTGCCTGTCCTAATTGTAGTCTGCTTGCTGGATAATCTTTGTCATGCCATGCGAGCTCAAAGTGTCCATTGAGCTGCTAATAAATAGTCAGGTCGTGCTACTATAGTGTATAGATGTTTGTTTTTTACCCTACTGGTCATGTACGATAGTATTACTGTCTTGGATCATTTTGATCAGATGCAATCATATGTATTAACTTGATGAAGATCGTATTCTGCATATCTGCATGCAAAGTTTGAGTACTTTGTGTTAAATTGTGTGACTATCAGTGGCTGGGTGGAGATTAACTACTCTAGATGATCATAGTTGTGATCACTGCCTGGTTCGATTGCTGTATCCGAACCGAACCCAGAGATTAACTACTTGTATTTATTGAGTCCAGTGATGTGTGCTCCGTTTTTCTTTTTCAAATTCAAACCGACCGAGTAAACGCCTAGTACAGCTTGCTGTTGACTGGAGTACTTAGGAACCAGGACGCGAACAAGCTGATACTAGGTTTGACCTTTCTGGATCATGCGACGCACAATCTTAAACTGAAACTTAGGCTTATCTGAATCTGAATATATAATTTGTCGACTGCTACATCAACAAAATGCTAAGACAAACAATAACTAGCTATTAATTAAGTTAATTAGTTCCGGAAATTTCAAGTATCCGGAAAATAATTTAAAATAAAATTTACCTAGCAGACCCAACTCGTGTCTCTTGGTCCAAAAGAAGCCAGTTAGCTTTAGAAGCTGTACGTATATCTTTTGTTGGCAAAAAAAAGTTCGTTAGAAAAAAAGAATGCTCAAAAGGCGGAAAGAGAGCTCCAAGCGGGTATACACGATCGATCGTGTAGTAGTACACCACGAATGCGCGATGCGCGGCGATGAAATGAACAGAGCCCGTGTTAATTCTTGCTTGTTTACAATGTGAGGAAAGAAATTGCAGAAATCGACGTCGGGGACTCAGTGACGAGGAGTTCCCAATTCCTAGCAATCGCGGCGGGCTGGCCAAGTTGGGGAGGGGTTGCCCCCGCACATGGGTAGCGCGACGCCTCGGACGGAAGAAGCTTTTCATGTTGGCAACCGGCACAAGAACACGTCCCCATTCCGGACCTCAAAACCGGGCCAAGGAAAAACGAAACCCGACGCTCGCGTACACACTGTCCATCCTACTGGTGGTAATTTACTATAACAGATCAATCGCCATCACTATCTCTAAAGCCGGAAAAGAAGTGGCAAGGACTCTCACCGAATCTTTTGCCCTAACCAGCCCCCTTCCATCACTCGACGGAGCATCAATTCCTTCTCCAGTCGCCCTCCCTCCCAGACGCGCATCACTTCCGCCGCTAGTCCATAAATACAGCCGTGGAGGGCCTCGGACAACAACCAAATCGACGGAGCAGCGCGCCGGCAGAACCAGGGCAAACCCTTGTCTTCAGTCTTCTCAATAACGACCGCGCTTTCCTTCTTCCCTGCTTCTGGCGGCCGAGCAGCCTCCAGCGAGTGCGCCAGGGCCGGCGGCGTCAGCTTCGTGCTACGCGACCTCACACTGATCGCTGTCGCCACGCCAGACGCCGCCGATGACCACTCGGGGCAGCAGGGCGGTGGCCAGCGGCCTCGCCCTCACGATGATAGCTGTCAACGCGGGCGTCAGCTCCACCGGCGGCTTCGCCTTGCTTCTCAGCTTCGCCGGGATGCTCGCCGGCGCCAGCTTCATCTTCGTCGGCGTTCGGATGGACGAAGACCCGACGGCGCCCATAGCTCGCCCCGGGGTGCTCGCCGCTGGTGTACGTGTACGTGCGCTCGTACACTGGCTGCGCCCTTGCGAATCCCGGCTCTCTGAGCAAACTCTTTGCTTACCTACCCGCCTCATCCTCGCTCCCTGATTCTTGTTAACTCTTTTTTTTTTCTTTTTCCCTGTTGCTTGCCTTGTTCAGGTGCAGGTGCTCAGTGACTACTCTGCAACACCGCCGATGGCTGCTCCGGGCAGCGGGTTGACGGCCACCGGCCTCGCCGTCACAGTGATCGCTGTCAGCGTGGGCGTCAGCTCCACCGGCGGCTTCGCCTTGCTTCTCAGCTTCGCCGGGGTGCTTGCCGGCGCCAGCCTCATCTTCGTCGGGGTCCGGGTCGCCGACGACGACCCGACGGCGCCCATAGGCCGCCCCGGGGTTCAACCTTAGGTATTTTCTGGATGAGCAGCCTTGTTCTTTATTCTACAAACAAAACACTCTTGGAAGATGGCTCAGAGCTGATGATAAACACCCTTGTTTCTGGCAGCAACGGCTACTTGACCAATCTCGAAGAAAACATATCAGCCTGTTTAAAACCTTTTAGACACTACTGTCTCTCCGTAGATTATGTTGTTAACATATGTAAATACGAATGCTCTACATTGTCTGTTTGTTTTGTATACCATATATGTAAGCACGTCCCTTTGTATTCAAGTAACACTGAGATTACCTACATTATTTACTTATATTGTAATCTGTATATTCTTCGTATTAGAAATCTTTTTCTGTGCCCGTTTACGCGTGCGATGGCGCGCGCCCTATTACTAGTTTCTAATCATGGCTGGTGACAACTAACCAACATCTGGTGCGGCCAGCATGCCATACATCCAGATGTAGCATGCCGCAGGAAAAGTCCTATGCGGCACGGTCGCATAATTTTTTTTCCCCGTTTTTCTGTGCGTGCACCCCGCACGGCAGCCGCTTCATTGGTCCGTCCATCCAACTGCCAGGCTACCTGACATAGTTCAGTCAAATCGTCAAGTTGGCCCTAAATTAAACATGAGCTGCTACCGTCCAATTCTTGATTACTGGTAGATCCTTGGCACACGGCTACAAGAGGGATGTACTTAGAGGAGTCGTCGTTATTTGTTCGACCCTAAACTGATCTCTCAAGCTAGAAGAGTGGTTTTTTTCCCTTTTGAAGCACTAGCACGAATTAACGCGGGGGTGGGGGGAGCACACCTGACGGCTGACGAGAAGACAGAACAAACAGCAATGGATGCGGTACGGAGTACAGTAGGTGCCAGAACCGCGAGCAAGCAGGTGCAGTGTCGAGTCAGGTACGGAGTACAGTAGGGTGGTCCCTCTGATACCCTGTCCGCTTTGCGTTCCCATGTGCCGGCCACCGGCCGCCCGCGATCCCGCACTTTTCTTTTCTTTTTGTTTCTCTTTTTCAATTGAGTGTGCCTCTTCCGTATTCACAGTTCCACACCAGCGACCGGATGGCTTGGACGGCCGCGCCGCCAGTTGTTGGTTGCGCTCGAGTCGCGCGTGGCGTTATGGATGAAAGCGGGAACGGGAAATTCCCGTACCACACCATATACCGAAATTCCCGACCGAATACTATTTTCTCGGGAAAAAACGGATTCGGGAAGAAATCCGGGAAAATACGGCGAATCCAGGGTCGAAATCGGTTAGAGTGATTTCCCGATCGAATTAGCGGATCCCGTATTTGTTCAGGAAACTACCGCGGGAAATTCCTGTTTTTAAGGCCTCCCATGCAAACGGCCCAACCCACCCCACCGGCCCGCCCAAACCCCACGCCGTGCGGCCACGTCCGTGAGTCCGTCGTCCAGGCAAGGCCGCAAGGGTCTTTCAACTCGCCCGCACGCCGCAAACCCTAAGCAGCCGCGGGGCCAACCCCAAATCCCCAATCTTCGACTTCGGCAATCTCTCTGAACTCGCCCGCACGCCGCCGCCCGCCGCAACTCGCCCGCGCCGCATTCCCTCCTCTCCGGCTCTCCCTCTCAGACCCTCAGTCTCTCTCAACTCTCAAGCGCCTCTCCTCTCCTGGGCTCCTGGCGCCTGGCGGCCTGGCCTCCCTCGGTCCCTCCTGGTGCCTTGCCTGACCGGTGGCCGCCGCCGCCCGCCGCCCTCCACCAGGCGTCTAGGCCACCCTACTCCGAGTCTCCACCGTCGGCCACCCCTACTACGAGTCTCCGACGAGGCGACAACAGATCCACGACTTGGGGGGCTAGGGAGGCAGGCCGGACGCCAAGATGAAGCCACCACCAAGTGAGCAAGCTTCTGGTTCTACATCTGCCTCATCCACCTCCAAGCACCGCCTCTTCCTGGAGCCACCCCCGCCGGTGAACAGCAGCACCCTCGCGCCTTTTCCAACGGCAGGTAAAGATGTGTGAATTAGTGTATGTTTCATTTATTGGCAAAGATGTTAGATGTGTGAATCACTACATGGGATTGCTTGTTGCTAGGGATGAAACTAACAGATGAATATTGTCCCCTTGTGTTTTATTGCTTGTGTGTTAGATGAAACTATCAAACTAATAGATGCATGAGTAAAAGTAATTGAGTAAGGTCCAATTGCTACTGTCATTTTGATTCCCAAATGAATGTTTTAGATTCATATTGCAATTGCAACCAACAGATGCTACTGTCATTTTGATTCCAATTGCAAAGGCCTTCGCTTATTCCAGCCAGGTTGTGAACCTGATGAACATTTTGAATATAGCCCTCATCTTTTGGGCATCGAGTTTTAGTTGACTCTCATGTTTGTGTTTGATTCTTTCCCTAAGCTTACCTTTCTAGCGTGCAATTTGAACCCCCTTATTACGGACTATGGCTGCTATTTTTTTTATTCCAAAAGCTCACCTCGGCGACTTTGGTCATTGCTTGGTTGCAATTGGAATCAAAATGACAGTAGCAATTGCGACTTTGGTCGTTCCCAAACTAACAGATGCATGAGTAAAAGTAATTGAGTAAGGTCCAATTACTTTGGTCATTTTGATTCATACTGGTGTCTTAGATTCATATTGTTGTGTTCTATTCTTGTCTTGGCAGGATCTAAGAGGTCAAGTGAAAGCCCTGGTAATTGTGGTAAAGATCTTGGGAAATCTAGGGAAAAGATAATATATATGTTGCAGTTATACGTGGCTGTGGCTGTGTAGTGTACTAGACTACTAGTGTTTACTCTAGAGTTCTAATCTAGGGGAAAGGATGTGCTACGCGATTTTGGTAGGCTTGTATAGCTCAACAGGTTGGTCACCTGTGGAATTGGAAAGAACTGATTGTATAGAACTGTACTCGGTAATGCTTTTGTGTGATCTTAGTGCAGAGATGAACATGGAGTATTTATCAGAAAAATTTCAAGGTCACCACGGTGTTTCTTTTTCTGGTATTAGTATCTTGTAGTAAGCAGCTTTACTGGGCTGTGGCTGGATCAGTTCTTTTCTAGGACGACGATGTCGCGGACAACGATGACGAAGGAGATGGACCACATGGAGATGATCTGGGCTTCTTTGACATGTAGTGTTGTCTGCTTCTGATATGTTCATCTATTGTGTGTTTGGCTGTTGGCACTTGGCAGTTGAGCATGTTTTATTTTTAATTTGGACTTGTAATTGTGAGTTGAGTGTTGGACCAGTAGGTTGTCTCATTGTCTCTTGTCTGTGAGTGAGTTGAGTGTTGGACCATTGCCTGTGTGTGGTTGCCTTGCCTCATTGCATGTGAACTGTGATGTACTGTTGTGACTTGTGTGCTATGTGACTGTTGCCTCATTGCCTGTGAACTGTGATGTACTGTGTGTGGTTGCCTTGCCTCAAGCTGTGGTGTGGATATGTTGTTGTCATTCTGTGTTGTTTTCATCCGTATATGCATGGTTGCAATTATTGCATCGAGCTAACTGTTTTAAGTGGTTACATGTATATCGATGTTCCCGTTTTTGTGTTATCGATTCCCGATCGTAATCGACACGTTCCCGATCGAAGTATTCCGTTCCCGATATCCCGTAATATCGAATTCATTTTTCTGTCCGGCTTTTCCGTTCTCGCCACCGTTCCTGGTCATATAATGCAGGAGCGGGAATGGTTACGGTATTTTTCCGACCGTTCCCGACCGTTTTCAACCCTAAGTGGCGTACCTCGTCGTGTCGCGGTTCCACTTCCAATATCCTGGAGTTGGGGCTCGAATTTTTTACATTTTAGCCTTCGTGCCGCGTATCAGCTTCGTGCCACGCGACCTCACGGCCACCACCAACTTAGGTAACTAACGGTGATCCATGCGGACCGCCGCCGGGAACGCCCTTGCGAATCCCGGCTCTCTGAGCAAACTCTGCTTCCCTATCCGCCTCATCCTCGCTCCATGATTCTTGTTAACTTTTTTTTTTCTGTTGCCTTGTTCGGGGTGCAGGTGCTCGGTGACTACTCTGCAACGCCGCCGCCCACCGATGACCACTCGGGGCAGCACCAGCAGGGTGACGGCCACCGGCCTCGCCCTCACGATGATCGCTGTAAGCGCGGGCGTCAGCTCCGCCGGCACTTTGGTCTTTGCTTCTCAGCTTCTCCGGGGTGCTCGCTGGCGCGAGCCTCATCTTCGTCGGCGCCCGGGTCGCCGACGACGACCCGACGGCGCCCATAGGCCGCCCCGGGGTGCCCGCCGCTGGTGTTGTACACTGCCTGCGCCGCAACCTCGCCCTCGTTGGCCTCCTCTTGGCTTCCTCTGCTGCCGCCAGTGCGACGGCGGCGGCGGCGGACAGGGAGGCGGCCCCGGTGCTCTGCTTCTGCGCGTTTGCTGTGATGCTACTCGGCCTCTCTCTCCTCAACACCGGAGTTCTTCTTCTCGGGGAACAGGAACACTAGTAGTTCCGTTGGTGCGATTCTTGGATGCATTCGTGCTCACTTGATTCCTGATTCCACAGCATTCCCCGCCCTGAGCTGCCAGTCCGATCGGAAATTAATCCTTGGGCCTTGTTTAGATTGCCTCAAAATTTCAAGTTTTTTCATTCTTTCTATCACATCTATTTTTGGACGCATGCATGGAGCATTAAATGTAGGTAAAAAAATAACTAATTACACAGTTTGGTTGTAAATCACGAGACGAATCTTTTGAGCCTAGTTAGTCCATGATCGGACAAGGTTTGTCAAATACAAATGAAACATGCTATAGTGTCCAGATTGCAAAAATTTGTAATCTAACAAGGCCTTGGTCACCACCGCCGCCGCCGCCTGTCCTAATATAAGTGTGCTTTCTGGATAATCTTTATCATGTCATTGAGGTGCTAATAAGATAATAGTACTGTGTTTGACCATTTTGATCAAATTGCAATATATGTGTGTAGCTTGCTGAGTAGTATCTTGTTCTGAGTAGTATCTGCATGCAAATGCGTGTAACTACACATCTGGACCCTTCAGAGTACTTTCGTGGGCTGGTTGGAG